GTCATCAAAAATTAACCTATCTAATTAAAAAAAAAAAGGTGTTTCTCCTTCCTGCTGGCTCCTGTATAGAATCTGCAGTGGAGGTGAGAGAAGCCCTCCTAGACAATAAAGTATAAAATGCACAGTGAGGATGACAAAATCAAACTCCGTGCCAACTTGTGTCTGCCTACCTGACTTGTTTATAGGAGAGACATTAATCCCATTTTGTTCAATTCTCCGTATTTGGGGTTCATTTTGCTAAAATTACCTGACCTTTCATCTAACTAATACAAGTTTGTTTAGCTGTTCTAAGAATAAAGCTCCAACACCAAATGCTTACCATCCCATGAAGCTAGGACTGTATTTAACAGGGAAGGATTTAATTCCACCCTGCTTCTGCTCAACTTTTCCTAAAATATCTGAATTGTATTTGGGCTTCAATGTCCTGAGTCACTGCATAAGAGGTTCACATCTAGAGTAAATTGCTGCATATGGAAGTCATGTTTACTTAACAACCTATTGTTTCCCAGTCAATCAGGAGCTCCAATTTTATATCATATTTGAAGCAGAGATTCCAGGAATACATATTATGTTATGTGCCTCAGGGCAGAAAATGGCATCACCAATAAACTTCTAATTCCTCACAAAACCCATCATCATCTCCTGGGTGAGTCAAGCCTGTGTTGACAGATTCTCCACACCCAAAGGAGGCAATATCAAGTTCCACTGAACAAAAATATATAGTTCATTCAACAACAAGTCCTGGCTGTGTGGGAGTCTAAAAAAACCACCACTGAACGCAAAAGGGATTCAGCTGAAACTTGTCACCTCATATGTGTAGCCAAAGCTGCTTTGCGGGCCACTAAGTCTGCACACATTCCCCAATCAAACTGCATCTATTCCACATAGAAGGGCTGTCACCTGCCATGCTTGGAAGTATCTGAGGGCCCACTGCACGAGACATGCTGGTCCACAATCACATGATTTTTGATTTTCACCCTTTTCATTATTTTTCTGAACATCAAACTCAAGAGATAAAAAAAAAAAGGCAGATAAGCAGGTGAAGGGTCAGCAATGGTTTTGGGGCCAAAGGGGGAGGCTGGTGCACTCTGGGAAATAACATGATCCTCTGGTAAAATGAGAGTCTGGAAAGATTAGGGCAAAATAGGTGCATTTCCTCCAAAATGGGCTGCGTGTGGGCATGATCTAGGCAATGAGCTGTGAAGTAGTGACGTTAATACTAATGAGGTTGAGAGGGAAAGGGCCACAACTTGACAGAGATAAAGAACAAATATTTACTGAGTGCCTCAAGTCAGGCAGAGAGAACATCATGCGACAAGTCAGTCTCTATCCTCAGGGTCTGGGGTGGAAAAAAAATCAGTCATGATAGTAACAAAACAGAGGGATAAGACAAATGCCAGGGACTCAATTCTAGCTTGGGGAGTGGGGAATAGGATAGCCCTTCCTAAAAGAAGATATAAGTGGGGCTAGAGTGCTAAGCACACATTCACTAAGCATGTGTGAAGCCCTAGATTCAATGCCCAGCTCTGGGAAAAAAAAAAAGATAAAAGATAAAATACAAAGATATAAATAAGCTGAGGCCAGAAATTTTGGTGACATCTGAATATGAAGAAAACCCTATAAAATGGGGTTGTTAGTTGCCTATTTAAGTATGCAAAACATGGCTGATGTCAAGCATCTACTCTGTTGCAACAAAACAGGTCATCATCACTGTATTATATAAAAAGTGGAATGTTAGTTTAGAAAAATAGGAATTAGAAGTTGACTTAGGATGAATTTGCATTATTTAGAAACTCTGGCCCCATGGAGGGAACTTGGAATCATCTAGTACCAATTTTGTCATCAATAGGACTATGCATGAATCAGCCAGAGCAGATGTGAACTGCCATCACAATGGATTGGAATTTTTAAGGCTTTCTGCTTCTGCCCACTTCTACAACCAAAGATTGTCTCTGTAAAGTCCTTTCACTCTCTAGATTATCTTTTCTTCTGAAAATGATGATGTTAGATGAAAACAATGCCTTCCAAATTACACCCCCCCCCTTTTTTTTACTACAATCCATAGTAGAAATAGACCTTCTACATGGTTACTTGGTAAAAGACCTATTTTATTAATTTTAAATGCATTTGCTCTTTTTTAATTTTAATCCATTTCTTTTTAAAAATGAATTGCTGGCAGACCCACTAAGCTAATATTCTGTTCCCTCCTTTGTGACCACGTAGTCAAAGCAATTCTAAACAAGATCACCTCTCATGGCCCTTCTAACCTCAGTTCTGGGCATCATTCACACAAATACCTAATATTTAACACATTACACTTTTCTAAGTGTGATTTCACAGGGGTTATTCCCTAGGATTCTCATAGCAGGGGCATAACAGAAGCAGAGGAACTTGTGGGATTCATCACAGACCACACAGCCAGGACACAACAGAGCTGAGTCCAGAACCCAGGGATTACATGGCAATAGTGATGCTTGCTCTGGTTAGTAGCTCATCTTTTCTCAGAGAATTCTACCTTCTGACTACTCTTCTGCTCTCAAGCTTCAACTTATATACCTCTCCTGATCTATCAATGAAAGATGCAACTCAACTAAACACATTCGGAGAATTTAATGTTAACTGCTAGATTCTTTAGGAACTAACCTTGTCACAGATGCATGAAACTCAGTCCTTGCCCTAGAATAGCTCACATTCTAGTGGGGAGGAAAATCTACCCACACAACTTCTCATTAACCACAGTACCAAAGACCCTTTAGAAGCTGCCCCTCTCTTTTGCTTCTTCAGCTCTGTTTAACCTCAGAACACAGGAAGCCTCAAGTCTTTCTTGGAGACGGTGAGCACTGGAGGTGGTCAGAATAGCCAGAGGAAGGCAGTCCAGTGGGAAGAAAAATATATCTCTGCCTGGGCTGCTTCCCTCTCTTCCCAAGAACCAGTGAAAGGGGGTTCCAGCGGGTTCTCAGCAGAACCCTAGATACTCTCTTCACACCCAGAACTGCATCAACTGACTTCAGGGATATATAAAAAACATTATCTAACTCACACAAAGATCAGGCCCCATGGATTTATGAATCACATTCTAATTATATTACTTAGAAGGGAAATAATTTATATTAGGGACAAGTATGTTTTTAGGTGCCCCAAACCTCCTTTATTTTCTTAACTATCCACAAGGCGATAAGTGCTGGTTGGTAATATGTCCATACTTTTAAGGCAATTGTTGCCATAATGATTGAATCCTACAGTGGGAACCTTCTGTTTTGCTCTCCAGAATCCATCCCTCTTCCCTCTGATGGCAATATTCAGATTTACTGTAGGGAAACTATAGCCCCTTTAATTTAAGCTAATTGATACAGGTGGTCCTACCCTGTCTTCTAGGAATAGGCTCCAAATGTCTTAAGTTGCTGGTGATTGGTTTGAGAATGGGAAGAGAATCCAACCAGATCTATAAGAGAGGTTCACTTTCTGAGGCTTCAGAGAAAGCATTCTTTTTCTTTCACAGGAGCTTCAATTAGTGGGTGTGGTATGGTAGATAGGGCAATGAGGTCATATGGAGGAGAACACTTCATCAGATGGAGCCTAACAATGAAGCTGACATTGCAGAGGTGGAAAGAACCTGCAGCTTTAGGAATGAATCTCAACTCATGCCTTGCCTGCACCCTTCACCCTTTCTTCTCTATTTTTTTTTTTTAGTTAAAAGAGACTTTTGTGTGCTAAAGTAAGTTTGCATTTTCTAACACTTACTATCAAAATAACTAAACTGATACAAACCTTAAATACTTTGGGTAGTATATAAGGGCTCTTTGTGGGGGAGCAGGAGGTCAGTATAATACATAAAGTTTGAGAGAAAGATTTTTTTCCTTAGCTTCTTCTAGTAATTCTGTAGGAAACTATCACAAAACTTAGCATAATGTAGTTGTTTCTACTTCTCAAAAAATCTTTTCTACACAGATTGCCACATTTAAATCACAATCTTGAGTCAAAGCAATTATTAACATTTTCATTTTGTAGTAATTATTTACTGGACACTTCATGTAGTTAAAAATATGACTTTGAATTCATTAATTTATTTAATTGTCACAATTACTAAGTTAAATAAGAGTGGTGAGTCTGCCATAATCATTTCAGACTGAAGAAAGCTGAGTCTCCAAAAAGTTAAATGAATTGACCAAGTTAATGTGGGTAGTTAGGGCGAAAGGCCTCAAATCTAGGTCTCCTGCTTGTCTCTCTCTCAACTTGATCCTCTGAACCAGATACTGACTCTACCACCAGACACAAATATGTCTGCTCTTAGGTTAATGTACTGGTATTAACAGTGGGATGAACTTGATCCTAGCATTAAAGATCTGGATTCCAGTGGCAGATCCAGAACTGGCTAGGTGGTGACCTTGGGCATGTTCCCTTTGTCTGTTTTCCGTTAAAGGAGAGGTTTGAACTAGGATCTCTGATGCTGCTTCAATCTCTAAAAGTTTTATAATTCTAGACCTTTCTGTCCCCACTCTCAAATTAATCTTTTCCCCAGAATTACAATCATAACCTTAGCTGATATTTATTTTCTCCTAGGTGCCAGGTACTGTGCTAAGAACTCTGCCTCTGTTTTCTCCTTAAGCCTTACAGCATTCCTATGTCAATTATATCTCTTTGACAGATAAGGAAACTGACTCACAGAGGTTAAATGAACTCTTCAAGATCAACAGGATTAGAAAACATCAGGGAGTCTTCTGACTCCAGGTCACACTCACCGTGAAGATCTTAACTGAGTCCACATTGTTTTTTCTGCAAAAATTAAGCTCCCTGCATTACTCGTCACCTCTCTCCATGTAGGAGGGGGAGGGAGGGAAACAAAAAAAGCCAAACCAATACATTAAGCTACTGCAAGGCAAAAACAGAAACCTCGGGAAGGGCGCTTGTAGGATCCTTTCCAGGCCGAGGGGGCGGGGCGCCCTTTTCCTCCAGCCAAAGGATAGCTCTAGCGTCCTACCCTTCCAGAGCCAGACCATTACCTTGTTGAGATGCGGGTTCCTGGTGACATCGTATCCACGCTTCTTCAGGGCCACAGGGCGCACCGGGCCGGGTTTGGAGTGGCAGGCTCGGGCGGGTGCGGAGGGTGTCCAGTGTCGAAGGGCACCGCAGGCCCTGCGGGGCGGGAGAGCCAGCCGCGCGCCCGTGCCCAGCGCGGCGCCCATGGTCCTTGCGCCAACCTGGACCAGAAAGTGACCGAGGTCAGGTGCGCTTTCTAGCCAGCCAGTACCCACACGTCAGCAGAGCAATCGGCCTGAGCCAGGAACACGTCCTCTGGGAGCGTGAAGGGGCACCCTAAAGGTTAAAAGCGCCAACCCTCACCCCTCCTCAGTGGCCACCCGCTCTGCATTCTGCTTGCGGTGTGCCAGGCCTCGCCAAAGGCAAAGCGAAAGCAAGCAGAGCAAGCAGATCCTGTGCGGGTGACAGCCCGCGCCATCCCCGCCCCCACCCCAGGGAAGCAGAGGCGACTGCGCAGCTAGAAGTCCTTGGACGCTCAAACCTGTAGGGTGGTTTGCCTAAGTTCCCTCCTCCCGCTCACCTGCGTCGTTAGTGAAGCCAGTGTCTACCGGCCCTGCTGCGGGGCAGGCGGGGCGAGGAGCTGCGGGTCTGTCTTTCGTCTCTCGCCAGTGGCTGGGTCGCGGGACTGTTGCGTTTTGGAAAAAGCCTTCCTGAAACCTTTCTGCACAGTGCCAGTTTTCCCCTAAGAACGTGCGTGGGGCTCCTCACAGTCGTGTGTATTAGCCTCCCTAGTAACAAGATGAAGCTCAGGATGGCTTCTGAGACTGTCCATCCTGAAAAGACTGAACGCACAGACTGGTTAGCATCTAGGGATCAGCATACCCTCTTCCCCTCCCACCATTTGGAGAACACCCTGGCTGCAAGAAACCCTCAGGTGTTGTGCAGTGCTCAGTGTTGTCGTGTGTCATTCAATACAATAGCCACTAGCCACATGAGGGTGTATAAATTAAATTAGTTGAAATAGAATAAAGTTTAAAATCCAGTTTCTCAGTCACAGTAGCCGCATTTCTAGTGTTCAAGAGCCCCTTGTTGTACACAGAGAACGTTTCCATCTTTGCAGAAAGTGCTATTGGATATCGCTGGTACAGGATGAACTCAGGGACCATCTGAAGCCTGTCTTGGATTGTTGGGACCAGACTTGGACCTTGATGCCCATCTAGACCTGCTTTTGTATTTTATCCACAAAATAATGAGGAGATTCCTTTTTAACCAAATATTTCATAGTGTGTGGAATAAAATCCAGATCTTTGGGGGGCCTACCAGTTATCCCATAGCCCCATTTCTGCTAACTTCAAGCTCATCCCACTCCCTCATCCCTCTCATTGAGCTCTAGTTTCCCTTCTCCTCCCTGATTCTCCTCTCTACTCAATTCACTCCCTTGAGGGCTTTTCAGTTGCTATTATTGCCTTTAGATGAAATGTTCATACTACAACCTTCCAAACAATTGAATATTCCCATTCTTTATTTAGGTCTCCACTGGTTTGTCAGCCTGAATGCCTTTTTTTTCTACTCCATCCAATGTTGACCTCCACTAGGGGATACACAATGAAGAGGTTTTCCTTTTCACAGAACTTAACAGTTTGTAAATATTTAGCTTGTTTTTCTGATGTTTATTGTCTGTCCCCCCAGAATATAAACTTCACTGAGAGAGGCTCTTTGCTTGTAAACCCATTGGTCCTCACTGCTGAGCTCAGTGCCTAGCATATAATCACAAAATTGATTTTAGGTGAACAAAAGGAAGTAAGAGCCTCTTTGATAAGGATTGTGAACCCTCATACTGTGTGCCTGGCAAATGGCACAAGTCTCTCCTGACAGCCCTTCAAAGCCCACCCATCACACACTTTAAGTACAAAGCAGACATCATGATACATAATGTGTTTAGTCCAGGCAGCTCCTGTCTGAGTCCAGGATTTCCTCATCTCGTTGGGCATCATTATCTTCTTCAGTTTTTGCCCTCTCTGGTCCAATCTCCTATTTGTAATTTAAATGATCTATATAAAAGTGTGCTTTCCAAAACAGAACCAAAATCATCTAGTGAAGGGATAGAGGCAGGGGTGAGATTATAGATTTCCAGGACCCATCCTTGGAGCCTCATTCAGTAGAGTTTAAATGCCTGAAGTCAGGGTTGTTCTTGGACTGTGTATTTAGACTATAAATGATCTTTTAAAAAAATTCTTAAACTAGTTTGAGTCAGATTTTTTATTGTCTGCAGTCAAGAGTACTAACTAATTCCTTTTAATGCTGCTCATATATTTGCATATCTTTCCACCATTCTATAAACATCTTGAGGGCAGAGATTGTATGTGTTTCCATCTTTGGTACCTGACCCATAACAACTCATCAGAAACTGTTAAGCAAGTCTGCCCTTGCTTAGGGTAATGAGCTTTTCCTCACCTTGGGACATTTAATAGGTAACCTCAGTCATTTGAAACTTAGCTAGAAACTAGAATGTTAATCACAAAGGTTTCAGAGAACCAATATAGTTTTTACAACATCAATCATTAAAATTGTACAGCTTGCAAATATACTCTCTTGCATGTCTCATTTTGGCTTATGTTCACTAAGCCAGACATTATTCTAATAATATTGTTTTTCTTTGTATTTGTTGCTCTTTGATTGCAATAAAATGCTTAAAGGCAGGTTCACCAGGTGCAGTGGCAGGAGGTAGTAGCAAGAGGAGGTGGCTCCTCAAACCCGCAGAGGTATCTTAGGACCTAGGTTCTTCCTCTCTATCTGTTGTGCTCTTCTCTAGCTGTTCCCAAGCTCTACACAGAAGAGCAGGAATATCTCGATTCTACCAGTAGAAAGGGAAACAAGAAATGCAGGAGAAAAAAATTCTCTTTTAAGTAAGTGACATGGAACTTGTATACAGTGCTTCTATTCCCATTCTGTTGGTGAAAACTTAGTCACATGATCACATTAAGCTATAAGGAAGGCTGAAAACTATTCACTCTAGCAGAAAAACATGTATATGCTCTACTAAAACTCAGTAGGGAAGACTATTGCTAAAAGGAAGAAGACTAGAATGCATAGGGACTAGCAACTAGAAGTCCAGATACAATACTTATTTTATATTAAAGTGTTTGGCATGTTGTAGTTGCTCAGAAACTATAAGCTATTATTGGCATGTGTGATTTCCATCTCTGGTTTCAAGGCAACTTACTTGCTTTTAGAGCTGAACATAGGATTCCCAAAACCAAGTTTAATACTGTGGGAACATACTAGAACCTCTTCCAACTTTGTACAACTCTGACTTCTTAGCCAGCCAACCTGGTGGTCTGTTCAGCACTAGCTAAAACTAATGAGTCTCCATAATTTGTCTTGGCTCCTCTCCTTTCACATCCCATCTACTGATTTCTGCCATTGGTGTAATACTGCTTCTTGTAGTAAAAGGGAAATTCCATCCTCTATGGTCCGAGGTTCCATATTCCAAGTGTATTTAATTCCTTTGCTTTCCATTGTGAACACAGAGATTTGAATATCTATCTGTTGTAGCTATTAGATTCTGAGTTCCTTAAAGATTGAAGCCAACATTTTTAATTCTTTGCATCTCCAGTATCTGGGATAGTTCCTGGCACTAAAAACACATGTGTTGTTTTTTAAATAATCTCTATTATCTGGGATAGTTCCTGGCACTAAAAATACATGTGTTATTTTTTAAATAATTAAAAATTGAATTAAATAAAATTGATATAAAGAAAATTTGTGCACAATTTCTAATGAGGGGACTTAATTGAAAGTTAATTTGGCACATTGTTAAAAGGATATCACAGTAGAGTTAAGTAACATTTTAGTTCAATCAGCTATCTTGAAACAAAATCTTGTTTTCTGAAAGCAGATTTTAATCACCTTACCTAAAGGCTTAAAAAAGAAGGTGAATTTAAGATTCATTATTTTTTAGATAATCCCATTGCTTCACAAATTTATTCACAATCATTTGCACAGTATTTTATGTTCACGATGGCCCCAAATGGAACTCTTTAATTTGTACTTTTGCTAATATATGTAAATACTTCAACTGTATTATTTTTTAACACTAAAGGAGAATGGTGAGGACTATTAATCCTCACCACTCTCTTTCTCTCCCACCATTTGGAGAACACCCTGCACACTCTCCACCCTACATATGTGCCCTGCACTCTGGATCTTTGCTTAATATCTTCCAGCATCTGTCAGTTAAAGCCCTGTCCTTTCTTCACAACTCTACTCAAATGCCATCTCCTCCTGCAAGTCTTCCTCATTCCCCAGTTAGCAGCTCACTCTGCCTCCACCATGCTCCCCCCAAATGCTGTTTGTATCTCTCCTATTGCACTTTTATAATCTGTCTCTCTTGGAAGTTACTCATTTACGTGCCTCTCTTCTGTGAGCCTCACAGGGGCCATGAAAGTAAGCAGCTTTAGATTCAGAAGGTCAGGAATCCACCAGTGACTAACTCATGTGACTGTGAGTGAGCATTTTATGTGATTTCTTTAATCCTTACCATCCTCATGGACGAAACTGAGAACCTAATATTACTTTCCACATTGGTTTTTGGTGCACTTACTTATTTAAAACACATTATAATGCACTCACCCTATGCCAGACACTGTTCTGAGCACTTTATAAAATAATGGTCCTCAACTTAAGATTCTTAACTTTATGATGTTGAAATTTTATTTCAGTAGAAACTGTACTCCTAATATTGATCTTTTCCTGGACAAGCAAAGTGCTGCAGGAAACTCTCTTGCCATACTGGGCATCAGCAGCAGCTGCAGTTCCCAGTCAGCCATGTGACCACAAGAGTAAACAACCCATACTCTGCAGGGTTATGTATTTGCCAAGCTAGAGTTTTCTCTAGGTATATTAATGCATTTTTGGCTTATGTTACTGTGAATGCACAAAGGGTTCATCAGGGCGCCAGCTCATTGTGAGTCAAGGAGCAGCTATACTAACTCACTTAACCTTGTAATTTTTCTATAAATACTGAGTTGGATTTTAAATGATTTTTCTCAGCTCCAAATATACCCTTTTACACTTCAACTTATGGCTAGCACTTGGACCCTACAAACTAGTCCTTTTGACCACAGATTTCCTGTTAATCTCTGTCAACAGGGAGCAGTAGAGGAAGATGGAAGGCTGGAGAGGAGCGATTTTTTTTGTTTGTTTGCTTGCTGTTGGTTCCATCAGTATCCCTCCAGCAACAGCACTTTGCCCAGCATCAGCCATTGGTCCCAGCCTGTAACCTTCTTCCCTGTGCTAAACCCAGCTTCACCAGGCCCCTGCAGATTTAGCAGAAGGTCTCTTGTCCACATGTCCAGTTTCTGATGGGCCTATTCTCTTTCCTTGTTCCTCTAGCAGCTCCTCCTCCTCCTCCCCCTCCTCCTCTTCCTCCTCCTCCTCTTCTTCTTCAATTAAATACATGTGTTGTTTTTTAAATAATAAGTAATTACATTAAGGAATAAAACTTAACCATTTTTATAGATCACCAACTTACCAATAAAGGGAATAGGGAGAAACATAGGTTCATCGATATATTATCAAATGTACTACCCCAGTGATGACACGGCTATTTTTTTTAAATTAGAGCACTAACTATATACATATTAACATAGTAGTTATACATAGTAGTTGGGTTGTACGTAGTAGTTGGGTTTCTGCTGACAAACTCAGACATGCATGGAAATCGATTTCAGTTCATGATCCCCCCCCTTTTCCTTCTCCCTTTTCCTTCCTGTCTTCCCTTCCTTCTCCCATTCTCCTTCCTCTACTTTACTAAACTTCCTTTCACTCATCTATTAGTTTGTATTGGTTTTTATGTTA